GTACAGGGTGGTGTGTGGGTGGGTGGGTGGGTGGGTGGGTGCGGTTGATTGGTTGGTGTGCGTGTGTTGTGTGTGGCAGCTGTCTTCCCTCCCCCACCAGCCCTCTACACGGCCGCTATCATCCTATCGGTGTGGTTGTGTGTGTGTGTTGTGTGTGCGGCGACTCTCTTTCCCCTTCTTCTCACTCACAGGAGCGGCAGCATCCTTCTCTCGCTCAATCACGACAACAGCAGCTATCTCACTACACACGTGACTCACTGCCCTCCCCCCGGCTATCTACCTATCTCTCCCTCTTGCCTCCCTCTACCGACAACCAACAACTTACTTAGGCAAGTAGGCCCTTGATGAAGGCCGCCGCCTGGTGGCCCGCCTCACATGCATATGCATAGCCCATCCGGGCCGCCCTCACGCCCCCCTGGCCATCTCTACACAACAGCACCCATCCTCCTCCTCGTCACGCCCCTCCCAACTGACCAACCACGAGTTGCCCTGCCTCTGCCAGTACGCCACCTCCCACTTAGTCAGTTGGCTCACATAGAAGCCGTCGTCAGCCCCCATCCCTCCCATCTGTCCACACATGTGCACACACGAACAAACAAACAAGTGACCACACACTCACTCAGCGCCCGTCTCTCGTGTCTCGTGTGTGGTGCCCACCTGCAGCAGGGTTGGCCAGCTGTGGCTGATCAGGTTGTCTCCTCTCCAGCTGGTCCACAGATAGCGGCCGGCCTGCCTGCATCAGCTACGAGCAGGCCAGACAGAGAGACAAGAGAGAGAGACAGACAGACACACAGACACACAGACACACAGACAAAGAGAGAGTGGAAGTAATGTGAGGAACACAGTCGAAGACGTTACCCTCCCTCTCTCTTCTGTCTGTCTTTGCGTGCGTACCTGCGCCAAGGTAGGTAAGTCAGCTATTGTCCTAATACGGACCAACGACGAACGACAAACCAGCCAGCAAGCAGGGAAGGAAGACAGCCCGCCCGCCTGTCTGTCTGTCTGTCGGTCGGTCTGTCTGTCTACGGCCGCAAGCAGCAAACGACAAACAAAAGCCTCACAAACAACAAACTAACAAGAGCTAGCTAGCCAGCTACACACAAGCGTACACACACATACGTACATACGTCATACGTACACGCATAGATCCACACGTATGCTGTTAGTCTCTACTCTATACATTCTCTATTTTATGTTTATGCGATGCTATGTTATGCGATGCGATGCGATGCTATGCTATGCATCTGTCTGCCTGTCTGTGGAGGAGCGGAGGGAGGAGTTAGCTGGATTGATAATTTGATAATGAAGGGCGAATCAAGGAAGAAAAGGAGAGGGCCGTTGGTGTTTGTTGCTATGTTATCGTGGCGTCGATGCGCATCCACAAGTCGGGGCCGGGTTTCGTTACCATTTGTTTGAAGCGTAGAAGGCCATAAGGCGGGCGGACGATGAGGCGATGGGCGTCGATCGAGAGGGAGATGAGGAGGAAGAGAGCTTGGGCGCCTGCATCTACGAGCAGGCCAGACAGAGAGACAAGCAGAGACAGACAGACACACAAAGAGTGGATGACAAATAAGATGTAACAAAGCCTCTCTCTCCTGTCTGTCTTTACGTGCGTACCTGCACGTCGGGTAAGCCGCCAAACCACGAACGAACGAGGGATGCAAATTTCTGTCTGTCTGTCTGTCTGTCTACGGCCGCAAGCATCGAACGACAAACAAAAGCCTCACAAACAACAAAGTAACAAGAGCTAGCTAGCTACACATACAGACACATCCACGTATGCTGTCCTTAGTACTATTCCATTTTGTATTGACTTTATGCGATGCGATGCGTGTGTGTGGAGGAGCTGAGGAGTCTGTTGGTGTGAATCATTAAGGAGAAAGGGAGAGGGCCGTCGGTGTTTATTGGTATGTTGCCGTGGCGTCGACCATAAGTCGGGGCCGGGTTTCGTTACCATTTGTTTGAAGTGTAGAAAGGTCATGAGGCGGGCGGCCGATGAGGCGATGGGCGGACCGAAAGCTCGAGAGGCGATGGGGACTTTGGCGGTCGCGCCTTGTTGTCGACGGCGAATGTGCTCAACTTTCCTCGTTTGTTTCGCTGACCGGCTTTCTGTTTCTTTTCTTGGAATGAAAAGAGTTGTGTGTGAAGCAGCAAAGGCAAAGTAAGTGCACTCTCAACACCTCACTCTCAACACCTGATTCATTGAATAGTTAGAATACTTCATTCACCTGTTGAGGACTCCGTCAGAAAAAGAGACGGCCATCAGGAGAAAGAACCAATATTCCATCATCTGCACACGAGCATGCCAACAGGGCACAGTGAGACCACCACAGCAATGAAACGGACTCTGCAGTCATCCTTGAAAATCATTCACACACCATACCGTCACCAGCCAACGCAAAGACAATGAGACGTCCACTCACCTGAGAGGATGTTTTGAAGACAAAGGAAGGCGTCGGCGCACTCAGTTGACGCCAGACAGGTGTCAGGGAGTCGCCAGCTGGTCAGCAGACGGCAGGTTGCCACCGGCGGAGGCCTCGCTCGTGGCACGGCGCAGAGGAAGGAAGGGTCAGTTTTCACCCGGACGAGTTGGGACGGGTAGAGGATGATGGGGCGGACCACACGAGCCAAAAAGCAGATGAAAACAAAAAGAAGCGGGGGATCTGTGGCCGAAAGAAGGCTGAGAAGCCGAGCGCGAACAAAAACTGTGAATTTCTTGTCGCGAATTTTTGAACTTTTCGTCCCGTCTCCAATTTTCGCCGAGGGAGATCTGGTTGCGCCATCTGTTCGTGGAGAAAACAGAGGCTTGAGACGCCGGGGGCGACCAGTGGGCCAAACTAGCTCGCATCATTCGAAAAACTCCAAGAGTGCAGCTGCAGCCTTGGCACGGGAACAAACAGGTGGCTGAGCGCAGGATGGCTGAGCGCCACAATTAGTGCAGATTGCATGGACTTTGCTCACTTCATGTTTGAGATTCTGAACAGGTCACGTCTGGCAGGTCAGTAGCCACAAAAAGCCACATTGTCGAGACGAATGCAAGGACGAATGCACGTTTCAGCGAGAATGTGTCCTCTTGCACCTCCTGCAGCTGCATGATCATGATATCAGATGAGTTCTGTCCTCTCCATTCTCCCCTATCTCCCCCTGACCTGTTGACCTTAACCATCGAGGCATCACTCACTCGCTGAACTTGGAGTGCCCCTTTTCCTGACGCAAGCTGCCAGTGATCCGTGCATTCATAGATGGCCACACAGTACGTATCCATGCAGAAAAGGTCCAACTTGTCTCAAAGCCTCCTCCTATCTTCATGTCTCTGTGCTCATGGTGAGTCTCTTCCATTCGCTTCACTTCGCCCCTTCCGTCTTCATCTGTTCCGCCTTCCAGTGGCAGCACTGCTTGATAAACTCTTTGTAGTCGATTCGTTCCTCTTCCGCCTCACCTGTCTCCTCACACAGTCTCTCAAATGTACCCTGAATCATTGAGAGGAGAAACCGAGAAAAGGTCATCCCCTTTCGACGTGGAAAGCAGCTTTACTTGAGACATCCGCAGTGTCTCTCCTGCCGCTGTGTCGACAGCGTCTTTAAGCAATTCAGGGCTCAACGTGCCCGACTGGTCCTCGTCTTTTTCCGTGCACGTCTGCAGGACATCAAGATGACTGCCCATGCCTGCTCTTATCATGTGCAAACTCACGTCTATCAGCGTTTGGTATCGCTGTTTGATAAACTCCCAGGTCTCTTCCTCGCCCTCCGCCTCGACCTATATTCGTATGCAGTCCAGTCAGCGAAGGCCCTCCAACGCTTAGCTTGACTTGCTGACCTCTTCGCCACCAGTATCATCCCCCGGCTGCTCACCCCCCTCCCACTGCTCCTCTTCTTCCTCTTCAAGCACCTGATGCTTGAATTGAACTCTGCTCTCCTGCCTCCGCGGTGCCTCCTTGCGTGGCGAGCGAGGTGATAGGCTCTCTGCTGACCGCCGCCTCGTAGGTGACCGCTTCTCTTTTGCAAGCGCTTCGAATTCATGCCATGGAGCGCCAGCAAAGCCCAACTGAGAGATGAATGGACTGTGCGACGACTCTGGATCGACTGTGAAGTTGCTCACTGGCTTGGTAGGCTTGCGCTGTCTTGGGTATGTCTGCGTTGACTGCGAGTCTTGTGGGCTCGTGTCACCTCTTGATGGAGGCACACGAGGGGCATAGCGAGACAAAGTGCGAAGCTTCTGCCGCAGATCCTGAGACCAATGAATGCACAGGGACCTTCAAGGCGCATCTGTCTTCCATAATTTGCTCACTCTGATGGCATCGGGATGACTCGGGTGGCACTGAAAGACCCGCAGGGAGGCCTTGTAGTATTCACTAGCGTCGTGAAATCGCCGCTGGACCACGCAGACTGTTCCGAGAGCCTTCAGCGTACGACCCACGGCCACTGACAGCTCCCCGAAGAGATGTCTCTCTAGTTCCAGCACATCTGCACAAGCAACAACATAGAAAACAAAAGTCTATCCTTCTGTGGATATCTCCCTGTTGAGCACCTTTGAGCGAGTTGAAGGCCAAATCGTGTCTGTCCGCCTTGCATTGCAGCAAAGCCAGGTTGCGCATGCCCTTGATAGTGTTTGGGTGCTCATGTCCCAGCACCTCCGTCGCTATTCCAGCTGCAGACCTGCAGCAAAGGCCAAAGGAGACTGCAAGATTCCTGAATCCATAATCCTTACTCGAGAAGGTCCATGGCTTCTTCCGTGTCTCCCTTGGCATGCATCCACTCGCTCAGGCGAAAGGCGGACTCAATGAGCAGGGCCGATGACGGGCTGCTCTCCTCAAGCGTCTCCACGGCCCGACGAATCAAAGCTGCGGTCGACACACATGTGCTGTCATCAGCTGGGGATCGAGCCCGTGTCTCCTGGCGGTATACTTACCGATGGCATCATCTTTCTGTCCCGACGCCCATTGTGTCTCTGCCATTCGCAGCCACACTTCCACGGTGCCCTCATGTTGAAGCCCCAGCATGTCTTCGCGGATCTCCCATGCCTAGAGAAACAGTGAACATTCGGCTGCCCGACGGATCCTTTCAGGGGACGACGTCCTACAGCTGAGAGGTGGTCGAGTGCTGTGTCCCAATTCTTCAGCTCGATGGCGGCGAGAGCAAGCCACACCTGAAGCTGAGGAAAGAGCGAGAAGCGCGCCACACACATACAATGCGCAGGACGGAAGACATGCGTCTACCTTGGCGTAATAAAGGTTGCTTTCGCCATGCACGCCGACACATAAACGCGCCGCAGCACTCAGCTTCTGTACACGTCATCCAATGGCAGCCCACGATAGGCGTCTCTTTTCTTTCGGTGCCATGCGCTCACTTTGGTGGCCGCTGAGACGTTCTGTTCGTGAATCAGGAGGAGGTAGGCGGTGCTCCCATTGAGCTCCGTCATCAAGCGGTCTCTGTCGAGCGAGGACCGCAACTTGGACACGACTGATTGGGCCTGGCGGAAGAGAAAGACAGACAGGCAGACAACAAGAGAGACAGGCAGACAACAAGAGAGACAGGCAGATGTACCCGCCCTGTCGGATCCTTCTGCTACATCTTTCAGATGATGACGGGCCTGTTCCGGGTAGCCCCCGCGGATGTAGGCCTCACTGCAAAGAGAAAGCAGCGGACGCGGTGCGCGGCGTCTCTGAGTGTGGTCTCTCACTCACGCCAATCTGCATGACGCAAGTCCCATGTTCGTGGGCGGATGTTGAAAGGCATCGACCAGCATCTTGCACACCGCCATCTCCCGTATCCGCACCTCAATGAGCCGCTCAGCGTCGTCGAGCAGTTCCAAAGTCGCTGCTGTCTGCTCGAGATGCTCGAGCTTCTCCCACGGCGTTGGCAGCGGCGGCTCCTCTGGCTCGTCTGCCGTGTCACGCGCAGCTGCTTTCTCTGCTGCAGTGGGCGAGTTGTCGTCCTCTAGAACACCCGACAATGTCGACAACATTTTCGTTGGGCCTCCAAAAAAGGGGGCCTGCAAGCTAAGCCGCGCGAAGCCATCCTGGCCACCACTCTGGGTGTTTTCCTCATCACGCGACTACACGCGACACACACAGAGGAGGCGACATTTGGCACAGGGCGAGCAAGTAGATCTTTGTAATGTCCTTCACATCGTACTTCATCACTCCCACAGCGTTCTCGGCCGCAGCATCGGCCATTCCTGGCCCACCAGCAGGATCAGGCAGGCGAGTCATGAGAAGGCATCCTACACGACGCTTCTCACGCATCACACCCCCAATGGCACCGCTGGGGCCAGGACAAGGCGAGCAGCTGCACTCTTATGCATACTCACTGTCTGAATCTCACTGTCCACTGACTGTGTGAATCTCATGCTCTCGTGACACCTTTTGCAAAGTGCTCGACGCAATCCCCTATGCAGTAGCCGCCTTGCATGTCAGCCCGTAAGTCTACGTGACAGACTCATGAGCCGGTATGGAAGACAGCTACAACAGAAGGAATCAGGTCGAGTACTGGTCTCACCCACGCATAGACAGCAGTCCCGCAGAGGGCCTCAGCGGCATCGACGCAGTAGCGTTTTCACCCGCCACACTTAGAAGAGAAAACCCTCGCGAAGAAACTCACATGATCATATCATATACTACACGTGACGAGACTGCCCACACGTCACACATACAACCATTAAACCACAAAGCTCTACACAAGCTCCTAACGCACTGTACACTTGTCAGTCATGACTCCTCGTCATCTTCCTTCACACCGCCCTCTGAATGGGGGGACAGTAGGCATCCCGAGCATATGAGTGCACCGCCGACGAGGTCATGGGGGCCCAGTCGATCGCCCAGCATGAGGGCCGCAAAGCCAGCGGCGAACACGGGCTCGGTCAAGAGGATGATGGACACCTCGCTCGCCTTGACGCGCACCAAACCGATGCTTTCGAGCATCGCTGACGGAACACCAAGGGAAAAAGAGGCACATATACATAGCCGATTTGTCACTGGCAATGCTTTGTGAATTCTGTCATTACCAGTGAGGGCGACAGAGAAGAGCCCGGTGTAGAGGATTGGTACGGCGAAAGTCGGCATGGTGAGCAGCTGAAAGGCCGGCCAGGTGTGCGTCTTGATGGAGTGCACCACCGCCCACAGACTGACCAAGACAGCCGCACTGCATACTCGCGCAGCAGAGAAGGCCAGCCCATGCTCCGTCTGTATTTGGACGGAGGCCGGCGATGAGCTGTCGTCTTGCTTGAGGAACTCGCGGCCGGCCACCAGGGAGAGGGAGATGAAGAGAGCTTGACAGAGGCAGAGAAGATCGCCGAGGCCCAACGATGCGTTGGGGCTCTGAATAGGCACAAATCCGCAGGCACGAGCCGGAGCTGGTTGTATGTATTCGGACATTTCATGTGTTGTGGCTCACTCACCGCCATCTCAAGCGATGCCACGCCCATGACACCCATCGCTGCAGCACCCCACGTCCTCAGGCCGACGGGACGGCCCAGCACTCCCTCTAGCAGCGGCACCATCACAACCACAAGGCTGTCTAGAAGCGCACATGTCTGCAGCGACATACACACACGACAGTGTGCGCCTCAGCGCGGGGTCGTGTGCCTCATCTTACCGAAGCACGAGTGCAGCTCAAGCCAAGCGTCCCTGTGATGAATCCCAGCCCCACAAGCACCCCAGACAGCGCCCCTCCCAGCAACAGACGCCTGGGCGGCCCGTCGGGCGTCGGTAATGCTGGCTGTGGCTGAGCTGCTTCGACCAAGAGGTTGCCGATGGCAGCAGGCGATGATGGCGGGCTGATGTCGGGCTGTGACGGGAAGAAGGACGTGAACGGGAGGGTGGAGCGCGACAGGGTTGGGGGTATCAGGAAGGGGAGCAGCAGTAATGCCCCTACCAGGTACTCAGCCGCCGCTTGGAAAGACACGTCAAACTGCCCTTCGATCATCTCGGAATACACTGCGGCCTGATGGTGCCGCCAGCAGCAGAACAGAGAGAGAAGTTCTCTGACACAGATACGAAACACCTCTGCATCCAGGTTTGTACCTTGCCAACGATGGTCTTCAGTTCGGTGAAATTGATGCCGTTGAACAACGCAGCCAGCAAGAGGAGCACACGTGGCCAGGTCCTCTGGAAACTGTCAGACCGCACCTGATGAAAACAGTGCAAGACGAACATCCAGCACCACATTTCAAGACAGTGGGCGCGCGTCAGGGTCTGTCTGTGTGGTGTGCGCCATGTTACCACTCGCTCGACGTCCTCTCGCACTCCCCTGATCCACCCGTCCACCGGCTCCTTCTTGTCCTCCCTTTGTGCCCTCCACAATAGCTCCACGGCCAACGCCTGGGGCCGCCGCCGCTTGCCACTCGATGACAGCTCCAATGGGTCGAAGTACAGCCCCTCCAGCTCGTCATCAAGACTGGACCGCAGCGGCGTGTTATCCTCCCGTCCAGCGTGGTGGCCGATGGGCTCGTCGAATGGCCGCTCTCGAGTGGTTTGGTCTATCGACATCGACAGCGCCGACTTGTGCAGTCGCTGTCTTTGAGCAGAGAGCCATGGCGGTGGGGGGAGGAAGGCGTCGTTTGCCGGTGACCTTTGTTGGCGTGGGGCGGCTCGGCGTTCGACAGAGGAAGACAGAAAACGCTGCTGGGAGATTATGGACGAGAGATCTGCGGCCTCCGCTGCACAGCAGAGCCCCAGAGAGGGTCCCCAAATCCTCATCGCCGCAGGAAAGGTGTTTCCCCGGTCTGCGCGCTGTTATCCGAGCTCGTTCGTTCGTTCCTTCGTTTGTTAACGGACACCGAGGTCCCGGCCCCTGAGGGCAGATGCTGTGTCCATGAAAGCGTTTGTCATATCGAGAAAACTAAGCTGACGGGTGCAAAGAAAGCCAGCGCTTGCGAGAAGCCACGGCCATCAAAAGAAACTGAGCCAACGCATGTTGCACAGGGAGAGAGCGCGAAGTAAGCAATGACCATGCGAACACCAGGGCATCACAATGAGCGAGATCCCACCAAAAATACACCACACCATCCGGTGCAGTCAATCCATACATGCGAACAACACAGAAGACCTCCCTACGTGGAGAGCTACAGAGCGGGCAATAGAAAAGCACATGCAACTCATCCTCAACAGGCGGCGCAAGCCACGGCATCGGCCAGCTGGCGGGAGGGCAAGTAGCAGCGCAGAATGGGCAGAAGCGTAGTAGACGAGGCCGATGAGTCAGCCGACCATCTGTGACAGCACAAGTATAGGTGCCGGTGCGGAATGAAAACAGCACACGGCGCTCAGCAGAGGGGAGAGAAAAATAACATGGGAGAGTGGACAGGGGGTGGATTAGACGATGAAGCCAATCCTGACCAGACTCAAGAATAAAATCACGCAGGAATGCAGGCATATATGTGGGCAGACAGACAAGACAATTGCGATCGAGGCAGCAACGCTGGTTACGAGAGGCAAAAACCCGGCGAACCACCGGGAATGTGTGAGGGAAGTGATGATTGAAGAAGGCTGACGCAGTGAAAAGGCATTGTCGTGCAAGGAAGAGAATACGACTGCGAGCAGTAGACCTACTGTAACCCCGCCATGGCAACAGACACAGAGGAAGTGGAGTAAGGGAGAGGGGTGGAGGAAGAGAAGGCGCGTCACGCAGTACGGTATGATTGGCGCGAATAGACGAATCCCATCGTGCGACCAGTGTGTCAGAGTAGTATGCTTTTGTGAGGCCGACATGAAGATCACGCAAAACAGCGTCAGTAATGGGACCCATATTGGAAATGAGAGTGCGATGACCAGCGTAGCTGAGCAGGGCAGCAAAGCGAGCATACACGTTGTGCTGCTGTCTGTACAGATATGTATGATCCGTCTGCATGTTGCTGAACTGACGGGTAGACGTGTACGCTGCCTGAGCCTCCAGAAGGGCCTTTTATGCCAAAGGCCCGCAGCGGCCATTCCATATACGACACAAAAACCCCAGCTGTCTGCGACGCGCTTCATACGTGACAGAGAAGCGACCGGTCTCACTCAACAGAGCATCATTGCTGACACGAGACGACGCACACATAGCACGGAGCAAAAAACGACGATGCAACTTGTCTAACTGTCGGCATGGCATGCCCGCCCAGAACTCGCAACCATACAGATAGACTGACGAGACAATCGAATCATAGACAAGGAAGAGGGTAGAGGGGTCAAGACGAGGCAGGTGGTGGAGGTGATGATGAAAGAGGCGCAGGGCAGTCGCACCTTTCCCACTCATCACCTGCAGATGATACGCCCAACCCATACTCTCATGGAACCACACACCTAGGTACCGAAAGTGCGTGCTGCGAGGGAGAGTAGTAGCGGGCGAGCCGAAGTAGAAAGTAGGGGGTGAGGCAGGGGCAAACTCAGGATTGAAAATAACGACCTCTGTCTTGAGCTCACTGACCTCCATGTGCTTCACACCACACCACGCATAGAGACGATTAAGGCTCTCCTGCAAGGACGCTGGAGTCGTCCCGAGGAGAGCCAAATCATCCGCGTAGAGCAAGGCAAATACGACAATATCGATCAGGCGCAGCAGAGGAGCAGTAGCCTCGCGACCAGCCCGAATATACTCAGGTAGGTTGTCGATGAAGAGACGAAAAGTGGGTTTTTGTGGATGTTGAGGGCCACAGACACTGGTTTGGCCGTTTCTGAAATGCTGCATTCACAGTCGTGCAGCCAAATGTCCATCATGTCGGAGATCTCTTGTTAGTAGCTGTCGTTGCTAGTCCACTCATTCAACCATGGCGTCCAAGTCGGGAGGAGCCAAGGGAGGCAAGAAATCCGGCAAATCTGAGCCGGCGGGCGGAATGGTGCGCAGATGCCCGCGGAGAAGGAAGATGTGCATTCTCTGGCTGTGTGTGTGTGTGCGTTCGTGTGTGTTGCAGAAGCAGAGCAACTTGTACGCCTTCTTCAAGGCCGCCCCCGCGACCAAGTCCATCAAGAAGGAGCCTCGTGCAGAGCCCGCTGCAGCAGCTGCTGCTGCTGCTGCTGTCAAGCAGGAGCCCGTGGATGAGGACATCGAAATGCAGGACGCCAACGCAGGGCCTGACAAGGTGACTTGACTGCAGACATGACATGACAACGCACAAAGATGAAGAGAGGGGGAGATCACCCACCCACCCGTGGCTGTGTCTTGCCGTCAGGCATCGTCTTCGGCCACCAACAACCCGGCAGCCCTGTTCAAGAAATCCAAAGCCAACGCGCCTCGAGCTGCAGACGAAGAGTAAGCCAACCTCCTTCTCAGATACACACCACACACACACCACACACCACACACCCTAACACTTATTCCCCCGTGTGTGTGTGTGTGTATCAGCGACGAGGACGTGCCGGTGAAGCGTCGCCGTCTGCGGCGTGTGCATGACGAGGGAGGGGAGGGGGAGGGGGGCGGGGGGGACGATGTTGATATGGGGGACGACGGCAATATGCTCATGGACGGCGGGGCAGACCCTGACGAAGATATGGGTGTAGGGTGGGTGAGTGAGTGGAAGAGCACACGGACACACCCACACAGACACAGACAGGCGGCATAGCTGTGCACAGACACAGACAGGCGGCATAGCTGTGCTGTGTGTATGTGTGTGTCAGGGTGGCCGTTCTCGTGCCCCCTCGTCGGTTGAGATGCCGAAGATCAGTGGCTTGGCGTTCGACAAGACCTCACCGTCGCAGGACTCGCCCGACGATGCCGTCTTCGTCCGCAACCCCAAACTGGTCCGCGCACTCGAGAAGGAGCGCAAGGAACACCGCGCACGGTAATCTAATCGAGGCACCCCACCCACACAGTCCTTGGCCACCCCGGACAGACACGTGTGTTGCGATCATGTGTGCGTGTGTGTGCGCGTGTGTGTGCGTGTGACAGTGATCGTGTAGAGGAGCACCAGCAGCGTTTGTTGTCGTGCAAGGCGGCCCTGACGTCGCCGATGTTTGCTGAGTACGTCGAGACCTTCTACAGCAGCGACGACGGCAGCAGATTCCCATCCTGGCTCAACCCTATGAAAATCAAAGGTGGACGAGACGATACCACTAGACAGAGAGCAAGAGGGAGAGGGAGAGGGAGAGAGTGACACAAGTGTGCCCGGTGTGTGATGTGGTGTAGACAAGCGTGGCCGTAGCCCGTTTGACGATGACTACGACCCCTCCAGCATGAGAGTGCCCAGCCCACTGCCCAAGGTAAGCAAGGGCATTCACTCCTCTGGCTGGCCTGGCACACAGTTGGTCTTGTCGGTGTGATCTGACGCCCTCCCTCCCTCCCTACCTCTATTGATGCCATCGGTCCACCAGGACGAGAAGGCCCATGCGACGCCCGCGATGGCTCAGTACTGGGACTTCAAGAAGGACAACTTCGACAAAGTGCTCTTCTTCAAAGTGCGTTAGCTCAGCGGGTGCCCACTGCCCTGGGGCACACACGCACACGCACATACGCATGGGGGGCGTCTCACATGCTGTATGCGGTGGTTTACATCGTCATCGTCATTGTCTGTCTGCCTGTGTGTGTCTATCTCGTGAGATAGATGGGCCGTTTCTATGAGATCTTCTACATCGACGCCTTCATCGCAGCTCGGGTGTGCGGCCTGCAATTCATGAACGACCAGAGCAAGGTGCCCACCTGGACACACCACACCACACACACGTGACGTCACGCGTGTGTGTCTGTGTGTGTCACGCCACGCCTGTGTGTCTGTGGCCTGCCTTGCTGCATCGTGCAGCCCCACTGCGGCTTCCCCGAGCAGGCGCTGCATCGGTATGCAAGTGAGATGGTGGAGGCGGGCTACAAGGTGTCAGTCATCGAGCAGATGGAGACGCCTAAGGAACGCGACGAGAGAAACAAAGCCACAGGCAAGGAAGGAAGAACTCACGCAAGCAAAGCACCAACCACCAAAGCCGCGTGCGCTATGGTGGTGTGGTGTGTTGTGGTTAGGTGGCAAGAAGGACAAGGTGGTGGACCGTCAGGTGTGTGAGGTGTACACCCAAGGCACACTCGTCCACGATGACATGCTCTGTAAGCTACACACACACACACACACACATGCGACCCGCCACACCTGCCTGTCTGCCTGTGTGGCACACAGCCCCTGATGCCAAGTATCTGCTCGCACTCAGCTTCGAAGACCCATCCGTACGCACACACCCATCACATCACACCACACCAAACCACACATCCATCTCTTCCCCCCCGCCCCCTCTCTCTCGGCAGATGATCCTTGCGAGTGAGGGTCGCGAGAACGACGGCAACACCGACGAGGAGGCCGACCCACTCGCGGACCCGCTACAGCAGCAGCAGCAGCAGCAGGGGGAGGAGGGTGGGGGTAGCGATGACGATGGATCCCATCGGTTTGGGTTTTGCTTCGTGGACGTTGCCTCGTGCAAAATCATGCTGGGCCACATGAGGGACGACCAGTCGAGGTCAGCCAGCCGCACACACAGCACTAAAGACACACAGACGGATGGACCTGAATGTGTGTGTGTGGATGTGTGTGTGTGTCAGGTTGAAGTTGTCGACGTTGCTGGCGCAGGTGATGCCGGTTGAGGTGGTGTACGACCCCGCCACCACTCCTGTCGATGTAGTCAAACTCATCCGAATGGTGGGTAGGTATTTATGGATGGCCGCATCGCATATACACACAGGCACAAAGACAGACAGACAGACACCACACACGCTTCCTGCCTGCCTCTGGTGCGGTGTGGTGTCTGTGTCAGCTGCCCGCCCCCCCACAGATGTCGCCCAACAGCAACTTCCCCTCACTCATGGGAGCTGAAGCGGTCATAAACACACACACGCACCTCTGAAATGGCACACACAGCAACCAATTCTGTGAGTGTGTGTGGCTGTAGGAGGTTGACCGTTACTTCCCGATGGACAGCGACCGTGCGATGCCGCAGGCCCTGCAGGACGGCCGCAGACACCCCAGCCTACTGTGTGCGTTCGGCGGCATCTGTGACTACCTGCGCAAAAACCTCCTCGACGAAAAGGAAAGGCACACGCAACGCAATGCGCAACTGGTGCAGTGCAGTGCCTTGTGTTGTGGTGCGTTGTGCAGGTGTTGCAGTTTGCGGACATCGAGACGTACGATCCGTTCAACCAGCGGCACCTCATCATGGACGCCACCGTCCTGCGCAACCTGGAAATTCTGCAGACACAAGAGGGGTCAGTGCAGTGCCTGACCTGACACACCTGACACAATCGCTTATCTGGCTGTGTTGATCTCTCTGGCAAATGTGCGTGTGGTGTGTGTGTTTGTGTGATATGGACGAACAGGACTGAGAAGGGTTCTCTGTTCCACTTCCTCAACCACACCTCAACCAACTTCGGCAAACGACTCTTCAAGTAACGAACGGCACACTCGACACCCCAAGTGCGGTGCGTGGCAGCCCCCATCATGATGTGTGACGGCCTCTTGGTGGTGTGTGTATGTGTGTGTAGGCGTTGGCTGTGCTCGCCGTTGTGTCAGGAGCGTTTGATCGACGAGCGGCTCGACTGTGTCGACTGGCTCATGCACAACGACGAGACCACCGGACGACTCGCTAAGGTCCGCCATCCATCCATCCATCCACACACACACAAAGTGTGTTGTGCTGTGTGCTGTGTGCAGGAGATGTCCAAGCTGCCTGATGTGGAGCGGATGTTGGCCAAGACCTGCCAGCAGGGGCTGAGGGTCAGTCACTTCAGTCAGCCGACCGACAGCACAGCCACCACACCCGCCTTTTTGTCCGTTCTGTTGTGTGCTGTGTGTGTGTGTCTGTGTCTTACCCATGGTCAACCAACCAGGGTGAGCGTGGTGCGGTGTACTTCGACGACGAGACGCAGAAGCGCACCGGCGAGTTCATCAAGCTGCTCGACGCTTTCGACAAGATACAAGTACGCACCGCCAGCACACTGTACCATCACCATCACACACACAGGTGCACAGACTGAGTCGGTGGGGGATGTGTGTGAGTGTGTGTGTCCTGACCCTTACACAGGATATGGTAGAGAGGTTCTTCAGCGGCCCCAATGCCGTCTACAAGCGCAGCGGCGGCGGCAGCAAAGAGGACGCACAGCCACAGCCCCTCCCACGCAAACTGGAGGCACTCACCAAACTGCAGGTGGCTGGCTGGGCGATATACCCACTCCCTCGCACATCAACCACACCACACCACACCACATGTCTGGATGTGTATGTGTATGTGTGTGTCTGTGTGTCAGAGTGCCGACGCGCCCGAGCCAGGGAGCGCTGCGGGCATGTTTCCGAATCTGAAGGAGAAGAACGCCCAACTGAAGGCCCAGATCGACACGCGGGGCGACGTCTACAAGCCTGCTCGGGTCAGTCACCTCACCCCCTCTCTCTGTGTACACGCACATTTTATGGTCCCGACATGTCAGTCAGGTGTGTGTGCGTGTGTGTGTCAGGGTGCTGACGAGGAGTATGAGGAGGTGCAGAAGCGCATCCGGCAGATCGAGAAGAGCCTCAGCGACGAACTCAAAACCATCGCTCGCGAGTGGCGCATTCCGTCTGCCAAGTTCGTCGACTCAAAACACCGGTCAGTCTGCAGAACGTCAAGGCCTGCAGCACATCTTGCTCCCACGATATATGCGGCATTCAATGGGGTGTGTGTGTGTGTGTAGTTATGAGGTTGAGGTGCCTGAGAAGAGTGTCGACCGGCAGTCGGTGGACGTCACCTCATCGAAAAAGGGCTACGTCAGGTGGGTGGATGGGGATGGATGGGGGCCTGCAGCCACATCCATCCACTTTGTCGAATCTTCGCCTGTGTGTGTGTGTGCAGGTTCCACACGCCCGAGATCAAGCGCCTCATCGGCGAGCTGGAAGGTCGGTCGGTCATCACGCACACGCCACACCACACACATATGACTATGTGTGTGTGTGTGTGCAGATGAGGAGGAGAGTCTGAAGAACAGCTACTACCCCTTCCTGCAGCGGCTCTTTCGCGAGTTCTACGAGGCCTATGACTTCTACTGCGCCGCCGTACGCATCACCGCTGAGATCGACTGCCTCATCTCACTCGCAAAAGCGTCACTCGGCAGCGGAGGTGGGTGCGCCATACACCACCACACACACACAGACCAGCTCGGAATTCCACATGTGTGTCGTGTGTCATCTTGTGGTGTGTGTATCTAAGATGGTCCGATGTGCCGCCCCGAGTTTGTGGAGTGGCAGGAGGGGGAGGCGGCCATGCTGGAGCTCAGAGAGTGCAGGTTGGTATGCATGTCGAGTGACTCGACCACAGCGATAGATACCTATTGTTGTGGTGGGGCGGTGTATTGCATGGTGTGGTGTCTCTCTCTCTCGGTGTGCTCTGCACTGCAGGCATCCGACGGTCGCTGCGCAGATCCCCAACTTCATCCCCAACGATACGTGCCTCAACACAGGTCACTCACAACAAACACACAAACCACCACACGCGCGTGCTGTTGTGATGTGATGTGTGCGGGTGACCCTCTGCCTGTGTGCAGGTGGTGTGGACGGCGGTGTGTTGCTGGTGACTGGCCCCAACATGGGCGGCAAGTCCACCGTCCTGCGGCAGACGTGCATCGCCGTCATCATGGCACAACTCGGCACATACGTACCCGGTGAGCCAACACAGGACAGGACCCCCAGCCAAACAGTATCGATGTGTATCACTCACTACTCACTTCAGCGTCCAGCTGTCGGCTGACGTGTGTGGACAAGATCTTCACGCGCATCGGTGCCCACGACGCCATCCTCGAGGGCAAGAGCACCTTCCTCGTAGAGCTGGAAGAGACCTGCCAGATGCTGCAGCGGGTAAGTAAGCCGAACCGACCCCTCCCGGCCGGCCGGACGCCCCCAAACACACACGCTGGCTGGTTGCTCATCTCATCCGGTGTATGTCGCGTTCTGTGTTTGTTGTCATGTCAGGCCACCCCCCGCTCCTTGGCAGTGATCGACGAGTTGGGTCGCGGCACCAGCACCTTCGACGGCACCGCCATCGCACTCGCGGCACTCGAATACATCGCAAAGACACTCAAGGCATGCCTTGACCACCACACACACACACTAACTAATGCCTGCCGAACCCCCGGTGTCTGCCTGTCCTGTGTGTGTCCGTCCGGGCCGGCAGTGCCGTTGTCTCTTCTCGACCCACTTTCATTTGTTGTGTGAGGAGTTCCGCGGCATCCCCGAGATCATCAACTTCCACATGGCGGCCGACGTCAACGACGACACGGGAGACGTCACCTTCCTCTACAAGTTCCAGGAGGGGGCCTGCCCAAAGTCCCACGGCATGCACGTCGCCAGGCTCGCCGGCATCCCCGACAACGTACTCAGGTCAGCCAGCCAGCTGGTGGTGCGGGGTGCGACTCGCAGGCAGCTGTGTGGACCGTGTGTCTGCAGGGCGGCCGCAGAGAAGTCCCGCGAGCTGGAGGTCATCACGACAGAGTTCTACCAGCTAACACGGTAAGCATGATTGGAGTGGCTGATATAGATATCCACACACACACGTCTGCTCCTCCTCCGCCATTGGTGTCAGGTGCCGGAAGGTGGCCCGCCAGCTGCTGGGTCTGATCAGCACTCTGGCGGGCGACGACCCCGCAGCCAAGGACAGGGCGGCTGCCGAGCTGTCGGCCATGCATGCCGACTACCACACACCCAACAGCGCGCTGCACGAGCTCATCATCAGCAGCAGCGCGGCAGGAGCCGACACGCCTATGATGGCTATGGATCGGGGAGGCGGGCTGCAGTAGACAGACAGACAGACAGGATAGATAGGTGGGTGGATGGGACGAACGAATGGTGTACATACATAAAATACATAACACACATATAGCATAGCATACAGACAGCTGGCCTGGCCTGGCAAGGAGGGAGGGGACGGACACACTGATGGATGGAGGGATGGAGGGATGTAGATCTAGCCACTGCTGTCTGACGGATCAAGGACAGGTAGACAGACAGGTAGACAGACAGGTAGACAGACTGACAGAGGGAGGGAGGGATGGGAGAGGATTGATGCATTCCGTTTGGTGCGGTGGGTGGATTGTGTGTGTGCGTGCGTAGCCATATATAGCTGACTGCCTCGTTTGGCTCTCCTGCTTGCAATTGAATGGCCTTGTACAGATGACTGACTGATGGCAGCCAGCAGGCAGGCAGCGATCCGATCCACACATTTTTCATGTCATGCCTTCCTCCATCCACGCACATCGTCTCAGCGAGAGCGTGTGTGCCTCCGCGTCTGCGTCTGCCCGGCCTTGCACCGCACCGCACCCAAAAACGGTCGTCGACATTCGTCGACACACCACACCACACCACTCCACATGAATGAATGCACACCACTCACTCACCAAAGCCACCCAACCCATACATACGGCACAGAAACTCCTCCCTCTGTCAGTCATGTCAGCGCCTCACTCCTCATCTCACCTCACGCTACCTACCTGCCGCACCGACACACACACACACGCACACACAGACCGACCCTACACAGCCCATGTGTCGACACACGCCATGCATCCATCCATCCCACCCGCCCGTCCCCAGTGTATGTACACTCCGTGTGCGTCCCGTCCGTCCCACACGACTCAACTCCATCATCATCATCACGTGTGTCGATCGGCCGGCCCTTCACAAATTGGAGACAGCTGGCTGGCCACTGTCCGTCGTGCGTCGTGTACGCCGGTGGGGTGGACTCGCCTCGCCTACCAGCCGTCGAGAGAGCGCACCGGACCCTTGACAAATAGATGGGGACCAAGCCCCCACCGCGAGGGACCCTCCCTCCTCATCTCGCTCAGGCTTGCCGCAGAAACTTGGGGTGTGCGTAGATAGCGATGGTGGCCCCCACCAAACCGATCCTGAATGAAATGAAGGGCAAAGATGACGGTCACAGGCGGCTCACGGGCTCTTTTGTTTCATCTATCGGGGTGTGGGTGGCTTACGAGAGGCCGGTGTAGATGCCGATGGCGACGAACCGGATGGCATCCGGCCGCCTGGGGGACGGCACAGCCGCGCCAGCAAACACACTACACACATGATATGACATGACCGGGAAGGAAGGAACACATGTGGCCAATTGATTGATTGTGCACACGGCACGGCGTTTGTTTCATGTGGGTTTGGTTTGCTTACGACGCGGCGTTCTCCGTGAAGCCACCGATAAGGTAGTAGATGATCACCAGAGCAACTGCACACACACACATACATCATCCTCACACCACCACGTCGCAGCCCCTCCACTCCCTCCCTCCCTCCCTGACCAAGTCTTGGGTCCAGGACGTCCTCCTTGGTGCACGCCGATATCGGGTCGAGGACCATCCAGGCGAATATGGTCATCTCCATGGCCAGCAGCGCCGTGACCATCACCGGCGGCATGGCCCGGTGCAGCCACTTGGCCACTTGACGCGGGTTGATCAGGATTGACATCAGGTTACCCAGGAAATCGCCCACCAGCTTCGACAGCAGCAGGTCCTGACACACACCAACAGGGAGGGCATGAGTGGATGAGCGGACGAGGGCGTGAGAGCACCTCCCTCCAAAAGGTGGATGGATGGATGTGTCATACCTGCGATGCGATTGGTCCGCCGAAGAAGGCCAGGAAGGGCATGAGGCTCATGAGACACAGCCGGTTCACAAGCAGACAGATACCCAGCAACCACAGCGTTATCGTCGCTCTGCACCCAACAACCACCCCACACACCAACACACCAACACACCAGCGACTCCCACCTGTCCCGCACCCTTTTGTCCCTCTGCTTGTGCTCACTCCCTGTCTAATGACGGCGGCAGGAGGTGGAATCTTGACTCGTATCTGGGGCCCAGGCTGGGCTGCAGCAGGTGCTGCGCCGGCGTGGGGCTGCCCAGCCCGCTGCCCGACAGAGTCCCACTGTCCATCTGCCGCGTATACTCACCCCGGCCAGACCTCGGCGACTCGTCAGAGCCCTCCAAAATCAGATCGTAGATCGCCCGCAGCTGATGACCATGATCAACCGACCGACCCACAACACACGGAGGAATGAGTATGTGTGTGCACAAACCCGCAGTCTCCCCGTTTGTGTGTGAGGTGAGAGAGAGACACATAGATGTCCGTTCCGTACCTGGTGTGTGCAGTGGAAGACGCCATATATGACGACACAGAAAGTGGTGACGATAAGCGGCACGGCGAGGAATATCAATATCTCTGTCCGCGAGGCGTCAGGCTTGAAGCCCGACAGCTTAGTCACCAGCACCGTCGTACCCGCCGCTACACCCGTCCCGAGCTTGACCACCTGATTGATGTATGGGATGGATGGCCCGTCCGTCCACCCATTCTTCCATCCGTCCATCCATCCCAATCCCTACTACACCCACCCTCACATGTGCCCATGCATGCTTACGGCAGGGAGTTTGGAGTCGCCGGTGGCCAGCAGCTGCTGTGACGACGACAGGAGGGCGGATGTGAGGCAGCCCAGGAGGATGCCCACCGTCAGGACGCCCGCCCACGTGTCTGCGAACCCCGCGCAGAAGCACACGACGCCCGCCACGATGGTGACGAAGCTGGTGCGGAACAAGTAGGTGCTGTCCGTCCCATACAGCTGGTCAAACACACTGAGTGATTGAGTGGATTGATCGATCAACAGCAGAGAGAGATGCATGGCATCGATGTCAGACAACAAAGAGAATGATGTCCGTATCTCTGCGACCATACCTGTCGTATTTGATTTGCAGCGAGATCATGAGGGGCGCCGGGAGGAAGTTGGTGAGGACGAAGAACAGCAGCACCTTGTTGGACTTGAGCAGGCCCTGGAAATACCCCACCGACGTCTGGAAGAACGTTATAGTGATCTATATATACACACACACACAGACACACACACGACCGAATGTCATGACCCCTTCCTCCTGGGTCCTGCATGCGGTCCTGCATGCGCCCTCGCGCACCTGCTGGCCGGCCCCGAGAGTCAGGGCCAGCGGAAATAGCCTCCAATACGCCTACATGTCACACCCAAGCACACGCACACACACAGACGAACACAGGCAGAGCGTCGCCGACAAATGGCAGGCATGAATTCCATGCAAGCCACACTGTTCTGCTTACCGATGCCATGTTTGTAGAGGCCGATGCAGCAGGGGCTACCTCACTGGCGCCGCCCCCCTCGGTGACGGACGTCGGAGTTTCTTCCTTCTCAGCCGGAGAGCTGGGCGCGGCCGCATCCGAATCGGCCAATGGCGGGAGAGCGCTCAGCCTGCTGTGGTCAGGGGATGGTGTGCCGTTTTCTGAGCTATGGGCCGACTCAGGACGCTTAGAGTTGGTCTGACGACCAATGACTTGATGCATAAGAGGCGGCTGGAAACGACGAGAACCACATCTCTAATGGCACAGAAGAAGCGCGAGTTGAGTGGCGACTCTTGACAAAGCTCGCAGGGTTTGAAACCGCTGCTGGGAGGCGAAGCATTTCATGAGGTGTGCTGTCAGCGGCACAGCTCATGTTGTGGATGCTGACACTGGCAAGCTTTGTCTTCTCCCTGGCGAGTTGGTCGCCGGCCGCCATGGTGCGTCCCGCATCGCTGGATCTGTCAGTGTTCGTCCCTCCTCCTCTTCGCCATATCACACCGACGTCGAAACGGGGCCTTCGCACAATCGCAAAAGAGGTGTGCGCGCGACGCACGCACACCTGGATATATGTGTCTATGTGATCCTTTCAGAGTGATGGCAGGATGCCGTCGCCACAGCCCAAGGAGCAGCCGATACCGAGCGACCCTGATGGTGTACCAGCAGGTGCGTCGGCGCCATCCATAACACACGAGGGAGAGAGAGGGGAATCCATCGGAACATGCCGTACTCACACACATCTGTCTGCCTGTGTGCTGATTGACCTTGTGGGCGTGCGTGTGATTCCTTCGTCGGCTTTGTTCAGGCACACCAACGAAGTGTGGTGGCTTGGAGGTTTACGGGCGGTCAGATGAGGAGGTGCGCCAGGGCCTTGACCCGCTGCCCAGGGTCACGCTCCCACCAGAACTCGTCGAACGGCACAAATTCACCCTGTTCCCAGAGACTGGCCGGTGAGTGCTTCGTCACAGATCAAGCAAGAAACAGCCTTGTTGACTTGAGATCCTCTCCGTTTGCTTCGCACGTGTGTGTGTGTGCAGCTGGACTACGGGGTCTCTCAAGGACATCAATCTGCTCACGGTGGTTTTCTACGTGTGGCCGTTGTTGGAGCAGATGATATTCCGGGTCGTGTGACACAGAGAACCCACAGGGATGGGTGGGTGGATTGATTAGCGCAGTGTGTGTGTGTGTGTGTGTTGGACAGACAAACTGCGCTGATCAGGACAACGATGACGACATCTCGATGTCATTTATGGTCGGCAAGGACGGCAGGACGCCGAGGACAAGCCCATATGACTATCAGAGGCAGATATGGGTGCTGGTCGGCGATGATGAGGAGTATTATGAAGGCACAAAGGCATCGGAACAGGCCCTCAAGAGGCGCCTAGCGCGACAGGCATTGAGATACGGCTGCTATGTGGACGATGCGCTGCTCAAATGGACTTTCTACAGCTACAACGACAAGACGTTCACCCTGGAGGAGATCAGGGAGTTTGACCACAGAAGCAGGATGTCGCAAGAGGGCCAGCCGCAGGAGATAGTGGACTTCATGGCGGAGCTCCTGCGCAGAGACGACACAAATCTGCCGTTTGCCACATGGGAAGAACTCAGGAGCCAGCAGCAGAACAGGTGCGTGTGTCGTCAGGCAGACAGACAGAGAGAGAGAGAGAGACAGATAGAGATAGAGAGAGAGGCCAGTGGGTGCGCGAGTGAATGTGTGTTCCACACATAAAAATGCGTTTGCAGATTGGAGCGTCTGCGAGAGGAGGCGGCGGAAGCAGCTGAGAGAGGTGTGGAGCCATGATTGACTGACGACGGATAGAGCCAGTAGATGCTTGAACTGTAGTGCGGCACAACGCATGTATGTATGCAAGTCGGCCAGCGTTTGCTTTTCGTTTTCGACCCATTCATTATGTACTCATTGTTTGTATCACTTGGCTGTATCCAGCCGGTTGGGCGTGCTTAGGATGGGACAGATCCAGTCTTCCAGACAGGCACACGACACTTGTACATAGGATGGTTAGATGGAATCATAGGGATGGGTGGGTGGACAGGCCTTCAGGCTTCAATGTGCATGCTTCGTGTGTGTCCATGCTGCCTGTGTGTATGGGTGTGCTGTGGACGCGGAAGATGTCCGATTGGTTGCTGTTTTCACCGCACTCGTGGATCGCGGGGCTTAGGGCTGATCTTCCGCTCAGACCGCGTCCTCCGATTTCTGAGTAGTCCCGATGCTCAGGCCGGACAAAGCACGGCACTAGTGTACCATACTATCTGACAAGTATAATGGAGAACCGCCATTTGTTGTACACGCTCTTGCTGACGGTCTTCACCGTGTGTACAACGAAGACCATCCCAGCGGCGTTCTTGGCAAAGTATCTGACCACCAAGGGGATTACCAACTCCAGCGTCGGTGCGGACAACGAAGTACACGCAGAGAAGCGCCGCGGAGTCGTGGATCTCTCTGTTTTGTGTTGGTTGTGTCTGCAGGAATGCTCTTTGCCTGCTTCCCTTTCGCTGGATGTAAGCCAGCACATATAAGGGACAAGCGACAACACCGATCTCGGGCATGTATGTATCGGTCGTCGATCTGTGTGTGATCAGTTGTTTTTGCGCCCATTGGCGGAGCCATTGTGCTGCGAGTCGGCCCAACTGTCTGCCTGTGTAAGAATTTGTGTAAGGCCAAATGTCACACGGTCACACACACAGCCTGCCTGAGTGTCATCAAGGTGCTCTATCGTGTGTTCAGGTGTGAGCCTGTTGGTCAGCATTTTCTGCAACGTGTTGATGGCCTTCTCGGGAGTCTATTGGCAGTACCTGGTGGTGCGCATCGTCATGGGCGTGGCCACCATAGCCTTCACCACGAGCATGTACAGCCTCTGCCCCTTCCTCTTCCCCTCACACCTGACCCTCGTCATCGGACTTGTTGGTCGGCAAGTGACCACACACACACACACTCAGACAGAAACACAAAGATCTGGTCGATCGATCCCTCCTCGTGCATATCGGTGTGTGTACCTGCAGAAACCACACTCGGGGTTGGCGCTTTCACCGGGAAATTTGTTGGTGGCGTGTTATTCCAGCTCGGTGGCTTTGCGCTTCCCTTTATCATGACGGCGTGTGTGCTCTTCCTCTGCCTCATCCTGTGTGTCCGATTCCTGCTGGCCGTGCGCACCAGGGTCAATCCGAGCGGCTCTGATGACGTACTGGTCGACCAGCGGCTGATCAGCTTGGATAAGAGGGAGCGCTCCCTGTCAGACCACCACCACCACCACCACCTGCACCACCAGATGGATCCTCATGACGCGTCAGCGCCGTTTATGGGATTTATGGGATACGAACACGAGCACAGGAGGGAAACAGGTGAGAAGAGAGAGAGAGAGAGAGAGACGGAGCCATTGTGGATGTATGTGTCTTTCTGTGTGTATGTGTGTGTGGTGTCAGAGAGGGGCCTGGTTGCGACCAAGAGCCCTGTGAGCGGCTGGCACCACCGGGAGCAGCTCACGGCGGAGCAGATGGCCGATCTGGACACTACCGACACATATGTCGCCCCCATCGGGCCCCCCACCCTTACCCTCCCCCATCCCACAACAGACACTGAAGGATACATTCAGGTGCACACACACTCTTCAAGCATGCACACGCGCATCGCATCTGTCATCCATCCCTTGCCTCTGTGTGTGTGTGTGTGTGTGTGTGCAGGACCTCCACACGAGCGAGGCGGCCCAGCCCTCTCCCACCACCCCTCCGCTCCACCCCCAACGAGCCGCCGACCAGTCTCCGATGTTCGCTGCCTCGCCCGTCAGGCAAGACGAGCAGCTGTCGTCCGTTCCATCCCTCGGCGGCCTCATGAGGCAGAGATACAGGCGGCGAACCGATTCAGGAGATGATCATGACCTTGGCAGGACAGCGACGGCGGGGTCGGTGAGCCCTCGCTTTGGCGGCCGGCGGGGGGGAGTGGGGTCTGTCGGAGGGCAGCACAAGGAGGGGGCGTACGGCAGTCATGTGACGTACTGGCAGGTTATGACGACTAAGGTGCTGATGACGCTGGTGGGGGTCTTCCTGACCTGCATGTGCTATAGTTTTCCGGATCCCGTGCTGCCCCCACGGATCAACAGTTTCCTTGGTAAGCGCAGAGAGGGAGAGGGCCGCAGGGGAGCGCCATCTGCACAGCCGCTTTGTGGTTTGCTTTGTCTCAGGCCCCCTGTCGTCCATGATCATCGGCCTCTTGATGGGGCTGCAGTCGTGCCAATACACGCTCGCAGCCCTCTTGACGGGCAGGGCAGCGCAGAAGTTTCCTCACTATACCTTTTACATGGCGCTGGGCTACCTGGCCATTCTGCTCGGCTACTGCTGCCTCGGCCCACTGCCACCAGGTCGGCAGCCTACAGCAGCCAGCCAGCCAGCCTGCACACACAAAGGGAACGAATCTCCTGTCTGTCTGTCTGTGTGTGTGTGTGTGTAGTGGAGGCTGCGGGTGTCGTCAGGGACCACTCGCCCGCGGCGTGGGTCGTGCTGGTGAGACATCGCGAGAAAAGTGCATAGATTCACCAGGCAGGGGAGGCATTTTGCGTGTCGATGAATGACCTGCAGGTGTTGGCTTTGTCGTTCGTCCCCTGGGGCAATGCGCTGTCGTTTGTGCCATCCATCCCGCTGCTGCATGAGGACGTCGACGAGATGGGGCCGGCAGCAAAGGAGCTGGTAAGCATGCAACACCGGGTCAGATACCCACTGTGAGTGAACACCCCATCAGTGTGTGGTGTGTGTGGTGTGTGGCAGGTGGTGAGCCTCTGCGTGTGCAGTATGAGTCTGGGTGAGACGGCAGGGCCCCTGCTCGGTGGTTCCCTCACTTCGGCGACTGGCTTCGAGTGGGCCTGCACAGCAATGGCCTTTGCCTACGGCATCTTCGGGGTGTGTTTTGTCATCGCCAAGCGGCCCTTCGCCAAGATCACTCTTTTGCGTATGCGGTACCGAGCGCAGCTGCCGACATTCCGCCTGATGCAAGTGTCGCCCCGCTCACACCGCAGGGCCGAGGCGGCCGAACCTCTTCTGTTGGAGGAGGGTGGAATGCGGGTGACGGCCGTGGGTGCGGTGCCGCCCAGCCCTGCGCCGTCGGCTCGGAGTGTGCGGACGCTGGGAGATCTGCTTGGCCAGGACCCCGTCATCGGTCATCTCACCGTCGTCGGCAGACCCCATCGGCTGCCCAGCGAGGTCAGCTTGTCGGGAGCCGTGTGGGATTGGATGAGGTTTGTGTGTATGCGCCGTTCGGTGTGATGTGTGTGCAGGCGGGTACGATCGGGCGGACGGAGACAGTGGTGTCTGGCGTCACAGCGCTGTCACGGGCGTCATACTTCAGCGCACTGTCCCAGCCGGCGGCCACTCTTGTGGAGGAGCTGCCCTCCACAGGCCTGGTGCCCTTCACCAATCCCGAGATGCTCCTTGCCATCACTTCCGTCAATGCGGCGGCATCGGCACTGCTCATCAACGACGCACTCGACCGCCTCACTCTCGAGGGCGACCTCGCCGACGAGCCCGAGCGCCTCACGTCCGCACCAACACAAGCCGTCCCACAGCAGGCGGCCACCACCATGGAGGGCACCGACGATACCGCCCCTCTCTACCGCACTGTCACGGTCACAGAGGTCCCCCCAGCCGCCGTACCCACAGCTGAGGCGCCTGTGCCGGCTCCCGTCCCGTCGGCCTTCGGTGTTGATGTGACTGGCAAGCCAATGGCTGACATTGAGGAGGGGAAGCCGCTGCAGATGGAGCCTGTGCCGCCTCTGGTGCTGGAAGGCGAGACGAGCCCTGCCAGCGGAAGGGCTGCCGGTGCGGTGCCCGACGGCGAGAGGCGGGGCGGGACGAGTGAGGGGAGCACTGAGTGGGAGGGTAGTGACAGCAGCGGGGGGAAGACCACTGCCGAGTGACAGACAGACAGACAGACAGACTGGAGTAGCTTTGTGTCTAGTGCCATTTGTTGAGCCTTCCTTCATGGATGCCGATTTGTCGGGGTGAGGTTCTTTATGCAGCAGACAGACAGCCGTGCGACGTGGCTTACTCAGCCCTGCCAACAGACAGACTGAGATGAGCCGTGCCGTCAATCAGCGCTGTTTCTTGATGTGACTCTGTGTGTGCGTGTGTGTGTGTGTGTGTGTGTGAAACTGTGTGTGTGGTGTCGACATGGACGGACCTCAGGCTCTGTCTTTTTGTGGCTGGCTTCAGCGGTGCCGCGGCCCGGCCGACTGAAGGCAGCTAGCTTTGTGGACTGAGTGAGTGGTGTATGTGATCCGATCGATGTGGGCTTCCTTCATGTGTTGGTTGCAACCAAGGAACATTTCAAACTCTCTTGACATATATGCCATCGAATCGCTGTCTGTGTATGTACACTCACTACGAACAGAACATCTCTGTTATCTAAATCAACCAACCACTCGCATCTTATCTATCTTATCTCGCCCCTCTCCCTCTGACGCGACGCGCATTCGTTCGCACATCTATCTACTTGCCGTTGTCTCCCTGGCCCCCCTGGGCCGCCTTAGTTGCGTCGTCCCTCTCCTTGATCATCTCAACCATAGTCTGCAGCCTCAGCCCCCCCACAGCGCCCCACCCCTCCTGGCCCTTGGGGATGTCGGGCCGGAACCTCTCGTACAGCCGATACGATAGGGGGCCGGCAGACAGCTCTCCTTGTGGGTAGGCGTTGGCCAGGCGGGCCATGAGTGCGTAGACGTCGCCGATGTGAGTGCCGAATTTCTCCCCCAGTGAGTTGTATGTGCTCTCGGGGGCGATGGGGATGCCCTTGTTGTTGAGACCGCGGAGACCTTGAGGGGTCTTCTGCACCGGCATGACCTTGCCCATCAGCTCCATCACGCTTGAGTAGTTCTCGGGGGCCTGGCGCGACGGCTGCTTCTGGTAGATGCCCAGAGACTCACCCTGACCACGCAAGCACAGCACGACACACACAAAGAAACTGATGCGGCGAGTCGAGTCGGTAAGTGGGCATCGGTTCGGGAGTGGTCACAAAACTCCCTCCCTACCTTTGCTCGTGCGTACACAGCAGCGATGGCATTGCCCAGCGACAGCGCCTCCTCCCAGCTGTAGCCAATCCTCTCAGCCACAACACCTGACCAACACACACACACACACACACGCCCCCCCACATACCTCCCTCCCAATCCGTCCATCCATCCATCCATCCAGTGGTTCTCTGCACTCACTTGCCCAGAGCACCATCACAGGGGACCTATTGACGCTGATGACGACGTCCGTCACGTCCTTCCCTGAGGGAGGGGGAGGTCGCAGCGACGACCGGCCGCCGCTGGAATTCTCTGCTGCCGCTGCCTTCTTGGCGGCCTGGCCTGTGTGCTCGACTGGCCCGGCTGCCTTGCGTTTCTTGTCGGCGGGTTTGGCCTCGCTGCTGGCTGCTGCTGCTGGCGGCTTGAAGGGACGGCCGTCCTTGTACTTCTTGATGTGCAGAGCTAGCTCGGTCTCCACACTGAACGAACACACGAGTCGGACGCACACACGCAAATGCAAGACAACGACAGGACAATCCGGTGTGCCTGATGGCATGGCAGGGACGTGTGGTTCGGTCAGTGCAGACAGACACGTGTGCAGGCCCTGTCAGTCCTGCCTAGCCTACTTGGATGGCAGGTTGCAGTCCGCCAGTTCCCCAATCTTCATGTACTTGACGTCATCCACCGTCTTGAAGCCCTTCTTCTGCAGACTTGCCGCCGCCTTCTTGGCTGCGGCGGCAGACACGCCTGCAGGCAGTGAATGAAATGACACACCGCAGCAGCGAATACACACACACAACGAGCGGAGCGGAGCAGCGCAGACGAAGCACAGACGAGATCCGTGGCCGACCTCTGACCTGCTTCCACAATGAACGCCGTCACGTCATCCATTTCGACCACATCCACTCTCCAACCGGTCCTGTTCTGTTTGGGAGCGAGATCTGCACTGCGAGCTTTCAAGCTCGCAGCAGAAGGAAAGTGCGATGTCTGAGGGCGAGGCTATCAACGGCGTCCACGGCCATGAGGCCGAGACCTCAGCTGTTCCAAAAGACGAGCATGAAGGGATGGACGTCATGGTCAAGGCGAACGGGGTGAGTGATGGCGGCGATGCCGCTGTTTCATCTGACCCTCCGACGGAGCAAGAGCCTGCATTCAAGCACATCGCCACGGTAGATCCGATGGACCGCCAAGTTGGTAAGATCATGCATGGCCATGGGAAGCAACAGGATGATGGTATGCATGTGTGGATGGCCATGCATGGCGTGTGGTGTGGTGTGGTGTGGTGTGTCAGATCTGATCCACCAGGCGAATGGGTACAAGAAGGAGGGCAACGAGCTGTTCGGGTCGGGGAATTATAAGGAGGCGCTCAAGAAGTACCACCATGTCTTCCTCTACGTCAATGGTCAGGGAGGGAGGGAGGCAGGCACCAACTGTTTAAGACACCTCTCACACACACACCGGGCAACTCGCCGAATGCTCTGTCGATCTGCTGTGTGTGTCAGGTTTCGATGGCAAGAAGAAGTACGGCCACATGCTCAGCCCCGAGTTGCTGCAAGTGCGGACACACACGCCCATGCATTCTTCGTGATCTGATGACTCGTTCGTGTGTGTGTGTGTGTGTGTGTGTGTGAGCAGGACAACAAGCTGAGCGGTCCGGAGATCACCGAGAGTGAGATCGACGTGGTCAAGCAGCTCAAGGTGCTCACGTATCAGAACATGGCCGCATGTCACTTCAAGCTCGAAAACTACAGACGATGCATCGACTGCGCCACCAGTGTAAGCAACGGACATCCAACACACCGACACATAGACAGACAGACAGGTCGACACGAGGCACTGTCCCTCTTTGCCTCTCTGCCTGCCTGCCTGCCTTGTTGTGTTGCAGGCGATTGAGCTCGACGACACGTCGGTCAAGGCGCATTTCCGTCGTGCTCAGGCGTACATCGAGCAGGGCCGGCTGGACCAGGCCATGGACGACCTCCACAAGGCCAAACAAATCGCACCAAACGACGCGTACGAACCACACTCGTGCGCATGCATGTTGGCCATGGGTACACGTCCGGCCCCTTGGGGTGTGTGTGTGTGTGTGCGTGCGTGCATGAGTGAGTGCAGGTCGATAGTGGCGGAGATGAAGCGTTGCAAGCAGCTGTCGAAGGAGCAGGAGGCCAAGAGCAAGGAGACCATGAAGAAGGCGTGGCAGAAGATGGAGAGGGAGAACCGCAGGAAGACGGCCAAGAAACAAGACGAACACAACCTCGATTGACTCACTCACTGACCACCCACCTGACCAGGCCAACCGATTGCATCGCATCCCCCTCCTCTCCTGCTGGTGCTTCGTTCGTGCTCCTCCTTTTCGTTAGTGATGGCATGGCCATCTACTCCCTGTTTCATCAATCGCATTTGGGTGGGCGGGGCGGGGCGAGATTGCGGTGGGCTTGGGATGGTTGTGTGTAGTGGGTGGGTGGGCGGGGTGGGTGTGGCGCACCCAGCTATGCCAGCCAGGGATGGGACCCATCGGACCACTCGGTGTTGTCTGGCGTGTGTGTATGGCTGGCTACGTTTTTGCGCAGCTGCGGCAACTAGATAGTCTTAACACGGAAAACATGAAGGCGTCTGGCACGCACGATACTTACGATACGCGTCCAACATAGACGGCAAGTCGACACGAGCATCGCACCAACACGGCAGCGCAAAATTGTCTCAACCAGTCAGCACTTAAACCATCACCATGCACACCGAGTCATGATTCTCTCAGCTACCGGGGCAATCGGTCAGTTGATGCCCAGCGACACCCACTGCTGGCCTGTCTGGCCGGTGACGTAGCCCAGCTGGCCCCACTGGAACTCACAGTCGTCATTGCCCTCCTCGTTGTTGAACCCCTTGACCACCCCCTCCAGCCCGTGTTGCCGCACCTCATCCAGCCGGGCGCGATGCACCACCTCGCGAAGCCCCAGCCTCCTGTGTGTGTGCAAATGCCCCGCGTCGACAGCGAAGCACTGCAGCTGCGGCACACGCACCATCTGCCCGTCCGGCCCCCGACTCCACCCGCCCACCACCTCCCGATTGCTGACTGTCTTGGTCGCTGCCCACTTGACGAAATGTTCAACGGCCCCCCGGACGCGCCGCTTGAGTGCCGATGCGTTGGTGAGGTAGCTGTTGATGGCGGTGAGTGCGGCGGGGGGGTCGTGCAGGAAGGCCCCGATCTTCCATGCGATGGCGGCGGCCTCCTGTGGTCCGAATGAGAGTGGGGAGGGGGAGGGCGGGTGGGGGAGGGAGGGGTCCTCGTCGTTGTGGTCCACAAAGGGCAGGATGCGCGTCATGAGGATGTTGGCATCACGCTGGGGGGCGAGGGCGGCGTTGATGGCGTCCATGACGACGAAGGGCAGCTCGTTGAGTACAACCACGTACTCCTTCAGCACCAGCTCATGCCGCTTGCGCTCAATGGGTGTGGTGGGCAGCACACTCGTCGAGAGGTCGGCTCCCGCCCGCAGCAGGGACCGCACCAGCAGCTTGAGGTTGCGAATGCCATCAGCTGTCTCGTCCAGCATGTCGTCGTCGTCGTCGTCGTTGTCGTCAAGCAGGTCTTCCAGTTCCCCTGCAGCATGCCAGAGCGGCGGGGCAACAGCCTGTGCATGGTTGATGTCAGCGGGAGTGGCAAGACGCTCGCACAGGTAGTCCACCACACAGTGGCTGCCGTGATAGGCGGCAAACCGCAGTGAAAAACGCACTGAGTCGGCCGGTATGGGGTTGCCGTGGTGCACCAGGGTGTCCATGTACTCGTAGGTGAAGGCCTTGCACAGAAGGGGTCATGAAATAGCTGCGTGGAGCACCGCACGGCCACTCAGTGACGGGTTATGCTGCAGCAGCCGGCGGGCCACTCGGATGAGGGCATCGCCATAGGCTTGCGATGGCCGGAGGGGAGGGAAGACGGGAAGACGGAAGGATATATTGTTGACTTGATTTGTGGCCAACAACACCTCCACTGCCTCAAAGTTGCCCGTCTCGAACGCCACACGGATCGGCCTCCTCCCGTCACCGGGGTGATGGATGTTGACGTTGGCGCCGCAGCTGATGAGCGCCTCGAGTATGTCCCGCTGCAGTTGGCGTGACGACCACGGTGTGAGCAGCAGGGGCGTCTTGAGGTCCGAATCCATCCGCCACACAGGGGGGACGCTGCCGGTCGGGTCGTCAATCGCCAGCGACAGCAGCGGCACCCACTTGGTGCGTCGATGGACTCCAGATGCCTTCTCGCGGAGGCCGACCAGTGCGTCGGGGTCGGCTTCTTTGGTCTGGATGAGTCGTGTGGCAATGGCGGGCGTCAGCTCACGGCGCAGAATGCGGTGGACGAGCCGCTTGGTGGCGGGGCTGGTGTTGTGCTGCCAGCAGAGGTCGATGCCGTCATTCAGTAGAGGCGGCTGGGCGGTGCTATCGGGCTGCTCGGACATGATGGTGATGGACTACGTCTGCAACACACACAGGCAGGACAACAGGCCTCATCAGCGCTTGCCTTCATCCCTTGTTGGTATCTCACGTGCATGCATTTCGTGAAGCCTACCTGATTGAATCAACAGTCGATGTGGTCGCCTGCTGCACTCAATGCCGTCACACAGAGCACGTCACACTGCGTGGAGGAGAAGCGCGTTGAAGATCTGAGCTAGCTCGCAAAGAGTGAGCCGGGGAGGATTTTGTCACTTTTGCAAAGAGGCTTCCTGACGATGAATGTTGATGCTATCGGCCGCGCTCTTCTCCTGCCTGCAGCCGACTACCAGCGAGATGAAGCAGTCCTTCGCGCCCTGCAGCCGGCCGGTTCGTTCGACCGCTTCTTCTTCCATCCACAGGAAGACATCATCACCATCCGGCTGCCGCGGCTCATCCCGAAGCTCTTCGACAACAACACCGACACAGCTTCGCTCGAGCAACATGGCACGCGGGAGGTGAGGATGCGGCGCGTGAGTGTGGCTGGCGAGGGGCTGCCGGCGGTGTGGGTCATCGAAGGATTCCTTGACGAGGCTGTGCTGGGGCTGCTGAGCCTGTATCTGGAGCTGATGGACAGCGAGGGCAAGTGGGAGATAGTTCAAGTCGACGGAGAGGGAGGTGGCGGGGTGAGTGAGGCAATCAACACAACACAACACAACACAACACACGAATAAGGAGAAGGCATGATTGGATGGGTCGATGGACGGACGGATCTGCACTTCTGGTTTGTCTGTGTGTGTGTCTTTCAGGAGCTGGATGAGCGGGGCTCGACAGAAGGCTGTGATGACCCGGCCAGCAGCGGCAGGGACCACCAAGTGCTGACAATGAAGGACGGCAACAAAGGCGCACACCTCGTGGCCATCGCCCTAGCCAGGTGAGCGACCATGACGCACAACTCACAAGTACATGCAGACAGACAGACAGACAATTGTGTTGTGGTGTGTATCATCTCATCACGGTCCGTCCACGATGTGATTGATGTGTGTTGGCTGTGCTGTGCTGTGCTGTGTGTGCGGTACGGGCAGGACGGCTGCAGCGGTGTTTCAGTTGCCGGAGGACTTCATCGACCAGCCGATACAAGTTCCTCGCTACAAACATGGCGAGGTGCGGACGAATGGCTAACCTGACTGTATGTATGCTCTATGCTGTATGCTTTCTCCCTCCCCTTCTGGTATGTGTGTGTGTCAGTTCTACGACATCCACCACGACGACGGCAACGAGTTCGACCGCTTCACCCGGCCACAGCACAGAGAGGCCTTCTTCAGCGAGACCAAGAGCCCGCAGGCCAACTGGGCGAGTCTGTATGCGGCCATGAGCGAGCGGTCGGACAGGGGCCGGGTGCTGTACGAGTGGGACGACGACACAGCCATCAGGAACGGGCCGGGCACACGCATCGCAACCGTCCTCCTGGTCAGTGGATAGATTGTATGTATCAAACACAAGACACACACACACGCGGGGTGGGTGAGTCATGGGCGTGTATGGCTTGCTTCTGCATGTGTGTGTTTGTGTGCAGTACCTGAACACGCCGAGCCGTTCTGATGCAGGTGGCCGCACCGTGTTCCCTCTGGTCGCCGACTCTGCCGGCAACCAACTCGCGGGTCGCCCGCAGCTCAACAAGGCGCTCATCTTTCCGAACATACTCAACGCCGAGGGGCAGCTCGGTGAGCAACAAAGCAGCTGCCGTCCTGTCACGTGAGTGAATGCGGGGCTGTGTGTCTGTCTGCAGACCCGCGGATGTTTCATTTCGCAGAGGAAATCACCAACAAGGACGCCGAGTGAGTGACAGGCGGAGGAACACTACACGCGACACGGACGTCACACAAGTGTCCTCTGTGTCGGGGTGTGTGTGCGTGTGTGCAGGAAGGCGGTGGTCAACTTGTGGGTGTGCGACCGTCCGCGGGCGATGCGGATGCCCCAGAGAGAGTTCCAGTGCTACGCCCTACCCAAAGCCGACAAGTATGTGAGCACACAACACGCAACACAACACACCATAACCCAGCACAGTGCACAGCTGCTGTACCCATATGTGAATTCCTGTGTGACGTCAGGCCAGCGTTCCTGTCGAGGATCCACCACCCCTCCTGCCCGGCCGACACGCTGTGCGAGGCGTGCGGCTTCCCGCCCTCATACTCATTCGAGAAACTGCTACAGAACGGTCGGTGGGTCAGACAAACAAATGGATGGACCCTACACACGTAGGCTGGCACATGTGAGATGTGTGTGGATACTTGCGATGTGAGCAGCTGACGAGTGCACTTTGGACAGCAGCAGGAGTGCTGACAGGGCCATGTGGCTGGCCCGGATGACCACACGCCGAGACGGGGCCGCTGGCGAGTGGGTGCGCTGCCATGGGCAGGGGCAGGGGCCGTGTGTGCGGGGCATACACAGCTCTTGCCTGGCACTCAGGACAGGTCAGTGGACATGCACCTAACAGGGAAACAGGGGAGCATGGGCGATGTATGTTGATTGTGATTGTCCTGTCTGGCCGTACCAGGCCCGCCAAGCGGTGATGAGTGGCGATGCAGCAGATGCAGGGGCAGGGATACCAAGCCTGAACGAGAGCAGCAAGGAGGGGAGCCGGCAATGCCCAAGGCCAGCACGCGCCCACCACACCGGCCACCCAACGGGCCGCCCCGTGGCCCTCTCCCCCAGAAGCGCATCCACGAGATGCTGGGTTCCAAACAGGAGAGAGAAGCGGGGGAGGAGCGGCCGGGTGAGAGGGAGTGGCTGATGAGGGAGATCGAGGCCAAGGGCCGTGAGCTGCAGGCGGTGACCATCTCGGCGCTGCAGGGCAACAGGGGTCACAGGCCGGTGCGGGTCAACATCCCGGCCTTCTCTCAGGCGGCCAGCCAGAGCAAGGACGTGCATGGCCTGCGAAGCACCCTCAAGCACATTCAGAAGAACATTATCAGCTTCATGCCCCCACCAGTGGCACCACCCCTCTGCCCCTCGCCCATGTCGCCTCCCTCCCCTCCCCAGCCTCCCCAGCGTCCTGCCAAGAAGCGGCGGGGATTGAAGCTACTCGATGGCGACGGCAATGTGGTCGCGCCCAAGCAGCCAGCACACGGAGACGACGCTGCTTCGTCGCCTGAGGCCGAGCAACAGCCAGAAGTGCCTGCAGCAGCAGCACCACCAGGGGCGGCTCGTCCCGCCATCGATGTCATTGATCTGGAGTCCCCCGCAGGAGGCGATGGGCTGAACCCACCCACACCGTCCCCTCACCCCAAGGCTGCGGCGGCTCCAGCCAAGGCTGCTGTCGAGACGTCCACGGCTGGTGCTGCCCCCCTGCCCCACCAATCGACAGGAGTGCTGGCAGCGTCCCATGGTGTCCGGGAGGCCGGCAGCCAGGCAGGAGCAGCAGGAGGTGGTGCCGTGAGAAGGGGTGGGGGCGTGATTGAGGGTGGGCAAACTGTGAAGAGGGAGCAAGGGAACGGGAAGACAATGCAGGATGCCATCAACCTTGACCTTGACGACGATTAGTGTGGAGGAATGGATGGATAGATGGATGGGCGGTGGTGTGTTGTGTACAGTGTCAATTGCTCCTCGTTACTTGCTACCGAGTCATGTTTTAGTTTCATTTCCACTCACTCACAGCCGTCTGTCTGCATTGAATGCATTACCTGCCTGCCTGACTGACCTTTGCCCTATCCTATATTTGTCACGTGTGCAGTGTACTTTTACTACCGGGCTTGCTCAAGGGGCTCCAGACAGACAGACAGACAGACGCAGCAGTGTGCTGTGCGTAGACTCGCGGGATGGATTCACATACCGTGTGCAGTGGACAGATCAGAATTCATTCCATTCATTGAATGTGAGTTCATATTGTGTGAGTCAGACGCAACCCACACAAATGTCCGTCCACTCACCCGACAGTTAGTCAGTTAGTTCTGCTGCCTGGCGTGCAGTGAGTGCATGACATTGTAGCCGTCCTTGTGCTGCAGTAGATACATGGCCACGGCATGAACAGGGTTGGGTGGCCGGTCCCGCTGCACCACCTCCAGTGCAGGGGTCAGCACGGGCAGCACTGTAGCGTGCAGATACTCGCGAGCTGGCAGTGCCCGCAGCTCCTCGTGCGTGAGCCGCCGTGGCCTCAACTCCCTGCACCACACGACAGGCACGCACAAAAGGCGTCATGTCATCAATGGTGGGGGTCCAACACACAGTAAACAGTAAGTACTCGGCCGTCGCCTCTGTGGATGGCGCGGTCGTGTCTTCCACGGGCTTGGCTGTGGCCTCCCGCGCTGCATTGATGCGTCGCATCCGCTCGGCATCTGCAGCACGGATGGCCTGACAGAACGAACAGAAAGGAATGTCATGTCTGGTCTCCATCCATCCTTCCATCCATCCATATGTACGTATGTATGTATGTATGGATGTATGTATGTGTCTCGATTTGCCGCGCAGCTGACCTTGTACAAGGTGTCCGGCTCGCTGATCATCTGCACAGGGTCGAGGACAATAATGCGGTGGCCGAACTCGTCCTCATTCGACAGCAACTCGCCCTGGTCAGGTCACAAACAGCCACATTTGTCTGCCTGTCTGCCTGTCTGTCTGTCTGTCTGTCTGCCATCCGTCCACACACACATACCTTCACGACGTCTCGTATCTTGAGAGGGATGAAGGGACGCGATAAGCTGCACATCAACGGGCGCACCACGGGCAGTTGATGCTTGTGTAGATAGTTTCCCGCAGTCCTTACATACCTGCCGCCGACGGGGTCGTCTGCGAGGACAAAGATGTGGTGGCTGGTGGGGTCTCCGCGATCGACGAGCATGAGCCGCACGGGGCCCTTGTCGACGAGACCGACGGCATTGCCGCTGTACAGGTACTGACTCTGCACCAATGTGTAAGTAAATGAGAGACATGCCATCCGAATCTATGTGTCTCTCATGCTTTCAGAGCACGGCCCACCTGTTCTTCCTCCTTCATGACAGCACCACTGGGTGGCCGCCCCAACAGCTGATGCACCAGCCCAACATAGCCCTCGTGCAGCCCTCGAAATGTGACATTCGCATTCTTGAAGGAGATCTTCAGCGGAATCGTCTCCTCTGTGGCCCCCTTCTCCTCTGTGGCCTCCGCCGCCTCCTGCGCTTCCCCAGCGGTTTTTTCGCCTTCATCCCCGTTGCCGTCCTCCTCCTCCTCAGCCTCTTCCTCCTCTGCTACATCTTGGTCGGCGTCTCCCGCCGGCTGGTCCTCGAGGGGTGACGGCGGGCGGTGCGATGTGTCCATATAGCCCAGTCGATGGCTCGGCAGCTGCAGATCTCGGGCGCCCTTCTCGCCATTGAACTTCACCTGCACAGACAGGCAGGGTACGCTACAAGTTCCTTGCCCCCCGCGAGCTAATCGACCGACGCTTTGATGGATGTCTGTCTCACCAGTTTGGTGCGATTGTTGCCGTCGAAGCAAGGGTGCCTGCCTTCGCAGAATGCTTGCAACTCGTTTGCAGCCGCCTCGAGCCAGTAGAGGGCAACCGCTTCGGGTGTCTTGGTGGAGTCGCCGGTGGTCTCCTGCTCGTCTGGCTCTCGGTGGGCCTCCTCGCTGCTGTGCAGCACAACTGATGGATGGATGGATGGATGGATGGGTGAGTGACAAAGGCTTCATGCTGCGTGTGGTGTCTCTCATTCTCACTTGCAAAGTCCCGTTTGTCCTTCACCAGCTGAACGAGCAGAGTCCAGAAGCCAGGCAGAAGCGACCACACGCCGGTCTTGATACGCGACACATAGTCCCTGATGGGCTCGGCCTCCCGTCCCTCCTCCTCCCCCTCCCTCTCAGCCAGCGGGTACGATGTGAAATCCACCTTCTCAATGTCCATGGCCTTCCTCAAGTTCAGCGGCACCATCAGCCCTTTGAGAAAGGCGTCCCCGGCGGCCTTGGCCTTCTCACCGGGCTGCTTCTTCTGAGTGATGGTCTCGAGCATGGACGCCATCTCTTGCCGCTCGGGGGCCTCTTCGGCGGCCTCTGCAATGCCTGGGAAGCGGTGCAGCTGCAGGAAGGTTGAGTAGGTGATGAGACGGTCGTCGTCTTTTGGGGGAGAGAGGGAGGGGACGGGAGAGGCCAACACCCAGTCGCCCGTCTGGGGGTCAAGAGTGCCCCATACCTGCAGATAGACCAGTCAGTACACCATGACATCGACACACAGAGAGAACGCATGCCGTGCAGATTCAATGAGAGCAGTGCCACTTCATGCATGTGCCCCTCCTTTTTCGTGACGTTGTCTCACCGTCTCGCTGAGGCATCTGTTGATCCATCCCTCCACGCCTCTCTCGCCGCACAGGGGGCGGAAGTACAGCACTCGGTCCAGGTCGATATGCAGAATCAACCGCGGTCGCTGCTCCTCGGCAAGGGCTGGTGGGGCCGCACTCTCCTGGCCGTCTTGCAATGTGGTCATCACTCAGGATCAGCACACAAGCAGCAGAGTCAAGGGAAATCGCTCAACTGCGAGCTTAAACGCTCAAACGGTACGGTTGTTTCGATCAGGGAGACTACGTTTGATTAAAGAGCGTCTTTGCAGCCAGTGGCCCAGATGTGCACATCCATGACCCATATCCATCACGTCATGCAGACAGCCATCCATCCACCCAATCTCCGCAGAGATGGGGAGAGAGTAAGACGCAGACAGGCAGGCAGGCAGCGAGACGACAAAATTGAATGAGACAGCCAGGGTGTCCTTACGGTACATGCAGAGTTGGATGGACGGGTAGGGCAGATGCGTTGCGTGTGCACAGCAAGGGCAAGTGACCATGACAGATCTGTGGCAAACTCCCGAGTGAAACATAACAGCGAAAAGTGGATACCAGACAGACAGGCAGGCAGAGAGCGCATAGAGAGGTACCGAGTGCCCATGGCCAGGCCCGTGTGTTGCTTATCTACATGGCCTATCTGTTATCTGCCCACCCGGCCAAACCTTGCACTGCACGAGCCACGAAAGCAATCCGCGAAGAGGCCATACACGGAGGCGGGCGGGCGTGAGCGAGCAAACTGACCAGGCAGGCAACCCTCCCTCCCAACCAAAACAACCCACACGAAAAACCCCTACGGATGACCGGTCGGGCCACTACTTCTGTCATCCTCCGCCTGACCGCCGCCCGTCAGTCAGGCCGTCAGTCGGTCTTCTTAACGTCCGAGAGTCTGGGGATCTTGTTGTAGGCGTCCTTGACCTGCGTGATGGCCGTGTCGTAGTGCGGCTTCACCTCTGGCCACACCTTCGTCTGATCCATCACACACACAAACACACACAAACACACACACATGGGGTAAAACGCACCCAGACTGGATGCGCCTCGTTCGGCTGACTGGTTTGGTTTCTGACCTGGACGAAGTCGAGCAGGAAGCCGCCAAGGAAGAGCAGCCAGATGCCTGACCCACACATACACAGCACGATGGATCAGCCGCCGGGCGTGTGGGCCGACCACCACCACACCACTGACCGATGAAGATGAGGAATGAGGTGTTGAAGAAGCGGCCAATGTACTGAGCGACGAAGGCACCGACAAGCACCTTCAGCGATAGCATCCAGTTCTTCCAAAGCAACACCTCGCGAGCCGTCCCAGCTGGACACCCACCCCACACACAAGACAGACAGACAGGGAGCCAAGTACACACAAGTCGCCCACATGAAAGCATCATCTGCCATGGCCCATGATCTGACCGTTTGCTCACCGGCATCGTTGGTGACGTCATAGAGGTAGTCGAGGTTGTCTTTGATGGTGTTTTTGTCCACATACTCGTACTTGGGCTCCTCGGCGCCCTGCACGTCCAGGCCGAGGACGAAGCCGATCATGATGAAGGTCATGGTCAGCCACGCCGCTATCGTCAGGAGCGAGCAGCCTCCAAAGGTCAGCAGCACCAGCAGCAGGTTGAGGGCGAACAGCGCACAGCTGCTCGTCACCTTGTTCTTCCACGTCACCAATCCCTTCAAATCCATACCGTCAAAGCTGATCGAGGCTACCGCAGGCAATCAAGAAAGGGCTTTCTTTGCTTGGCGTCTTGCGAGCTCAGATCCGATCGCACCATTTGCCAACGTCATTTTGCCGCATTCTTCTCGCTTGAGGCGTGTGATTCATCATGGGTGCCAACGCTGCTGTTGTTTCGTTTGTCTGCATTCTGCTTTGCACTGCTGCTTCAGCCGCCCGACCTCACGCACCTCCCGCTCACGACGTGTCCGGCGGGCAGACACCCGGCTCGTCCATCGAAGCCGTGCCCAAGTAAGCCCGTGAATGAAGCGCAAACATCCATCACCCATGTTCGCCACACTGTCTGCTTTTGCGCATGCAGTGGTGCCATCCGTTCTACCCCCCGCGGCTTGGATGCTGCGGTGGTAGGTGCCTACGAGGAGGGCGAGAAGGAGGCCGAGGCTGCTTCGGAGGGCACTGACAGTAAGGGCACAGCAGATCCATGACTGCTTGTCCATCTGCACTGCACTCATTGTTTGCAGCTGACGAAGAGCCGTCCAAGATTCTCTCTGCCATGGTGAAGCAAACGTCCTTCGAGCATCCGGATCATTGCTTGTCTGGGTATCCGTATTCGATGCTGTGTGCAGCCGCGAAGCACATCGGTGTTCGGTGGATTCGTTCCTGCCGGCACGGACGACGGCGCCATCGAAAGCAGAATGTGAGTGAGCACACAGACGTGTGCTATACCTTTCGCGCTTGTCTGTCTGTCTGTGTCTGTCTGCATGGGTAACATGTTTTATCAGCGCTGCAGCTGCGCCTGCTGTTGAGGCAGTTGAGGAGGAGCTCGAGCCAGAGGAGGAGGAAGGAGGCGTTGTCAACGGGCTGGACATTGAGGACCCATCGCGGATGTCGTCGAGGCCTCCGAGCCACCGTTCGGATGGACGCCGCAGGTGAAGGAGAAGCCAGTGACAAGCCTCAAGGACGGCGTGAGGGTGGCATGCACTGTTTCATTCCCACCCGTCAAGCCCAAGCTGCGAAAATCGACCGCGAAACGCCGACCCACGTTGACAGCAGGTACAGGAGTGGGCTGGATGTATGGCGAAGATCGGAGTGTTCTTGCTCTGTGGGTGTGTGTGTGTGTGTGTGTGGGTGTGGGTGTGGGTGTGGGTGTGTGCAGCGCTGCAGCGATTCTGATGGATACGCTAACCTGTCTCCGTGCCTGAGCAGACTTGTCCTCTCTTGCCTGAGTGAGACGACAGCAATATCAATGAGATGAATGACCAGCGAAGGTGCCGGCCAGTGCTGGGTACACACAGATCGATGAGATGTCAATCGATTCATTCACGATCATTCATTCAGAGGGATGCGTATAGATACGCGATAGATAGATGCACAGATACATACAGATCCACATCCACCAATGTTCAGCAAGCAAGTGTTTGCGTCAGGGTCCCGTCCCCTCACGCAAGTCCTTCCTTCCTTAACTATCCTCCAATCAGCCACCGACCCCACCCAGGCAGGCAGCCCAGCCAGTCCAAACAAACCCACCAACCACAATTAACCACGCACCCTGGCCACACACCAGATCAAATGAACCCTCACACACTCACACTCACACGCGGTGCAGCTGACTGACATGCCATGTGGATCCACTCATCAGAAATGTACCGACGCGCGTCGGCTTTTGTTTTTCTCTGTCTCTTCTGCCTCGGCTGCCGCCTCCTCGATCCCACTGCCCCCCGCCACGCCCAGGCCGACCTTTTCTTGGCTGCCCGCCACGAGCCTGTCGCCCGACTTCTGCATGATGGCGTCCACCGATTGCCGCCGCACACGAGCCGCGCTGGTCTGGCCGTACTTTTGGCGTAGCGGCTTGGCCGAGGGCGTCTTGTTGTCTGTTCTGGTGTACTTCTGATGCTTGAAGCCCACCCATGAGGCGCCGTCGAGGAGGTTGTCGATCTCCTCCTCGATGGCCGCCTCGTCATAGCCGCTGTCCTTGACGCACCTGAAGAAATCTGTGAACTCATTGTGGGTGATCTAACACACACGCAAACACACACGCACACAGAAAGCCGCAAGAGTCAAGGCGAGGGGGATGGGGTCTTCCTGCCTCCCTGCCTGCCCGCCTGCCCGTGTGTCTCTGCCTGTGTGTGTGTGTGTGTGTGTGTTTGTGTGTCACCTGAGCGTCCCCGTTGACATCCATTTCGTCGAACAGGGCATGTGCATTCAGTCGGCTCCAACTCTTGAAGAAAGCCACAGCGTCATCTGCACAAAGACACACACACACATATCAACACACGCACCGAGACGACAGAGCCATCCATCCTTCCGTCCATGAATTCGCCGTCCCTCTCGCGTCCCCC